GCCCCCGGGCCACGGGCCACAGGCCACGGGCCACCGGCCAGGAGCTGCAGCATCACAGGAAGCCTGGAAGACACCTGGTGGAGGGGGGCCCAGAAGCAGCGGGGTGGCCGCGAGGAGGGGATGACAGGGCCAAGCAGCATGCTGGCGGGGTGCATGCTTTCTCCAGTCTCCCCGCCATGTGACTAAGGCTACATGGCTCTCACTAAAGCCAAAGGCATCAGGGATGCTACAGGTATGTGGTTTCTCCTTCTCCTAAGTGGGTCTTTTCTAGAAAAGCCAAGGCCGATAACATAAAGCTAGCCAAAAGTCTGCCAAGCACAGCTAAAATACAGAATACTCATTTGGTGAAAATACTTACCATGCTTGTCACCTGGATACAATAATAAAGAATTTGTTAAAAGGATTGCGTACAAAGGCAGGGTTATTTTTCTTCTTCAGTTAAAAAATATTTAGGTATATAAATACATGATACTTGGGTACAACAAAACGCGGAGTATGGGGCTTTTTCACATTAGGGTGGATGTATGATCCATTCGGAGCCTTCTAGAAAGGCAATTATCAAGGGTATTTGATGACAGCAGCGATGGAAGACTGGTCTGCCTTCCCCAGGACAGATGGAGATGGGGTCAGATCCCTGGGGCACAGCAGGCCAGGTGGGCATGGCGGGATCTCCTGAATGGACGGCACAGGAAGACTCCTGGCTGCCACGGCAGGGCTGTACTGCAGGCCCGGAGGCCATCAAAGCAGGAACAAACAGGTGATACCACTACAGAAAAGTACCCTCCCGCTGCCATCCACAGTTCAGACAGGGCGGAAGGTCAAAGGGCACTTCAGGCTCAAAGGCTGAGACCCAGCTGAGAGGCTCCTCTGTGTTTACAGATTTAACCAAGGATGATGATGACTAAACTTGCTGGGATGCCAATGGCAAGGCCATAAGGAGTTTTAGGAAAAACCAAAGCCTACAAAACAACTGCCAGGGGCTTCTGAGAAAGATCTGCTAGGTGCTCCCAAGGTGTAGACACGGTGCTCCCAAGGTGTAGACACTACTTTGCCCCATAAATGCCAAGAACACCATGTCAATTTTCAAAAGCTTCTATTATTGCTTGAAAAAGATCTCTCTTCCCCATGTGCCCCTCAAAAGAGAGAAAGAAAAGAACCCACTTAACTTTGTATATTTTATACATTTCTCTGGCCCACAAATGAAACTCTAATGAACCTCAGGCAGCAGATTTCCAAGGATGATTCTATCAGTATGCCTGCCTGTCTGGAATGGCGTACTGAGGGACCTGAGGGCCTGGACACTTGCAGGACTGCTGGTCCCCAAGGGAGTGACCCCAGTACTCTGAGAGATGCCTTTACTGCTCTCTCCTCTCCTCATCGGGTGGCATTCTTGAAGTTGAGGCTTCATTTGCTCATCTGTCAAATGCTCTAACCTAAAGCCAGCTGCCACAGGTAACTTTTATTTACTTATTCGTTCTTTTAATGATCTGAAACACATCAGACACCGAAGATGCCAGAAAAGAGGCAAATCTTGAAGTAGATGGGATTTCACACTAAACTGGGAGTATGTCCTGAGGCCTCTACACACAGATCCCATGGCCATCACTCACTCCTAGCAGGTGGGTGTCTTCACCTGCCTCCTGCCCCGCCTGTCCCCTCAGAGGGTAATCATAAACAGAAACCACGGCTCCAGTCACAGCTGTTCCACTCACTGTGAAGCAGACCCTGACGTCGATACAAAGTCACGGTTTCTCTTTGGTGCAGTCATTTTGGACTCCAGCCCCCAAGCCACATTAACCCCGAACAAGAGGTTATTAAATGCTCTCAAAGTGATTTCTTAAAGTAGGTGATGGTACAGGTATGATTGCAGGCCCGTCCACAGAACAGGCCCTATAACTTCTCCTAGGCCCAGGCGAGGTGAGCTTGGAAAATGACAGCCCAGACCCCCTGCCTGCATGGTCACATGCATTCTGGGGAAAACCTACCAAAGAGCTTACGGGCTTGGCTCGATTCCAGAAAACCGTCATGGGACCCCTCACAGATCTGTGAATTCCATATTCGAGAAATGCCGCTGACAGATTCTAGTGCCCGCATACATAATCCAAGAGTATTCATGCACACTTGGGGGTTGGGGGGACGACTCAGAAATCTGGAGTTCAGGTCCCAATGGAGGTAAGCTCCCTGCCTCCATAACCCATGATAGAAAGAACAGCTGGAGGGGTTTCCCTTTGCTAAGTTCCTTAAAATACACAACAAAGTTTGGTATTTCTTCTTTTTTGAAACAAGAACATCAGCCAATGTAGGAAAAGGGAACAGTAACTGTATGTGTTGTTCATGTCATGGAGCTTCTGAAGGTGATCTTTGTCATTGGTTAAATAGTGAGGTTTGACTCTGCGTTGCCCAGCATTCACCAAGAACCTAAATGAAGAATTCCAGAGCAGGAAAACAAATCAGCTGCTTCTATTGCACTGACTCGCTTTATGACAATAAAAAGTGTATCCACTGGAAAAAAAGGAGTGTATCCGCTGGACCGTTTGAGACACCTGGTTCTAAATCCGCCCTGCCTGACATCACTAGGCTGTGTTACCTTGGACAAGTCATTTAACATCCTCTCATTTTCATCTATAAAATACAGACCTGTGGGGTCAGCAGGTGGCATGGTGATTTAAGGGCACTGGACTCCCACATGGCCGACCGTGGTTCGAGTCCTCGACCTGGCGGCTTGCTTTCTCACCGCCTCTCTGTCTCTCTCTCTTTCTCTGCTCCAATTAAAATAAGTAAAAAAAGTTAAATAAAATAATTCTTAAAAAAAAAAAACCGAGCTGCACTTTCTTCTCTGTCATTTTGGTTCTAAAACTATTTGTAGCTATGAAGGCGAGTTTCATTATAAACAAACAAATATTAATTCATATAGCTGGGGGTGGGGGAGGACTACTAATGAGAAAGATAGCAAGATGTTAAAATTTGGCAGCTCTCTGCTGCCTGTCCTAAGCGAGAGAAAGCCAAGTGCCGAAAGGAAATTTTCTCTCAAGTAGAGGCTCTTTCTGCACTTGACCTACCTATTTGAGAATAGGCAATTTTCTGCAAATGGACTAAAATGTCTCTATGAGCGATTTCCTACTTTTTGTAGGAGAGCTACTCTGACTACTCATTTAATTTTGTAGCATCTTCCCTTCCTCCGTGATATACATGTGAAAATTTAAAAGATTAAAACTTTGTGTTTAAAATCTAAAGTAACCCTGGAGATAATAAGCACCACCAGGCAGATCTCGATATCAGGACTGAGCGCCTGGCTGCACACCCACTTATCCTGAAGTAAGAGTCCGCAAGGATGCCAAGCTAAGAGATTTCAATGGAAGGGTCTCGAAATTGCCATTTTCAGCCCAAGGACACATGCCTGGCTTTGACAAAATTATAACTCTAAGTGACAGGCCTGAATAAATTGTCCCTCTGTGTCACTCTGTTCTAATATTCCAGACCTTTAAGCATTTTACTCAGTCCTCACCACTCGCTCTCGGGCTAAAGGGGAGAGGCTAATCTATCCAAATAAGTGATGCTTAAGTACCTTTAAAACCAGGCTACAATTGTACACCATACTAATTGTATTCTACGGTGTTTCCGCAGCAATAGTTCTGGCTATGGATGAGATTTACAAAGGAGGAGCACATTGTTTTATCTTGAAAAGCTGTTAAGTCAATAATGAGTTATGTTCTGTGATGTCTTGGACTGCAGGTAAAACTCAGTGTGTGTGTGTGTGTGTGTGTGTGTGTGTACACATATGAGCATGAACAAGAAAAACGTGCCCCAGAAAAAGCTTAGACACGTCTGTACTGACTGCTGACTTCTGATTTTAAATCTCTTTATCCCTAAGACTACAAAGAATAAGGCCATCAGAAGCTGAATGTTCGGGCGATGGGGAAAGAAATGGCAAATCTCCCTTTTCCGATCTACCCCAATCCAAACCCACAACCGGCAGGCAACGTGGGCCGGTCGGCCGTGGACGGGGATGGAATGGGTGCTGAGAACAAACGGTCCGAGTGACCTGAGAACGAGGGGGCCAAGCACTGACGTGCAGTCGTGTCTTATTACCTCCGCTACTTTCCTCACCGAGTTTTGACACGCCATGCTGCGGATGGTCTCACTGCCGCCTCTGCCACACACAGTCCAGCAGGCTGCGTCACGCATAGACTCCTCAGCCTGAAGCCTTTCAATCTGTTATTGTTACTAAGTCAACAGGCTTTCATATTTCAGAGGCGGAGCCAGGCTGCTGTTAAAACTCTGTTCTACTGGCTGCCTCCTTTTCATGGATGACATGGACACAAGGTTTGGGAAGTTCCTACATGTAACGCACACGGCAGGAAGGCAGCCCGTCTCCAATGCACGTGGAGAGAGGGCAGCGAGTCATGGATTCCCAGGGCCCGAGTGGCCGGCTCCTCACCCTCGAGGCCGACTTACGGATCAGTCTTCGGCTAGCATGGGATTATTCTGCGAAGCCAATTATCTCATCCTCTTTAGGCATTATCCATGAACAAATTTTAAAGATAACATAAAAAGGCCGCAGGCTTGGACATACAATGCATTATAGCTGCCCTATGTGGAATTTAATGAAGAGCGGATTCCCTGGTCGTCATATATGCCGAACCCTTTACTCACAGGCTATTATCTCGGAATTTAAAGATAAGACGCCAATCTAATTTGTTCCTACAGAAGTCAATACATCAGGAAAACATATAAAATAAAAGGAAAACAAACAAACAAACCATGGACTAAAAAGCTCTTGATAGCTATTGAATGTTTTTCTCCAAAGTTACTTTCCTAACAACATAAAAATATAGTATAAGGGAGAAAAGACAGCAACTTGCTTGTAAAAGTACTTTTAAAAATTATTATTCAGAAAAAAACACAAAACACAAAATACTTTTCTAAGAAATAATCTTGCAGATGTTGTTTTTGATCCTGCACTATGTGGATTCACGTGACCTCTGCAATTACGCGCTTAGCCCTTGAGCGGATAAACATCACAAACTATACGATGCTTTTGGAGAAAGAATGGAGGGCACTTGAATTTTTCCTAGCCGTGATCTCTAATTTGCTTATTATTAGAGAAGGCAGGAATAAATACAAAAGGGGGCTATTCCGGTCAGGCAGCAGCTAATGCTGAGGAGAGCGGGTACATTCAGACTTCTTCTGACTTGCCGCCTAATGAGTAGCAATTAATTCATCTTATTGTATTTCCAAATGCCAAAGACTCCATTCAGATTAAAAAAAAAAATTCAAGGCTTTCAGCATTGTTCATTTTTAAATGCACTGAGTTATATTTAGCATTTTATAATTGTCAGCCACGCGTCCTTTAATTCTGATGTGGGGTCG